AAAAAAAAAAAAAAGATTGCAAAGGCATTCTCCTATAATAGCATTTGTTGGGTAAGTTTTCTGCTACAAAAATAATAGGCCTATATATTCTGAAAAAGACCCCCAAACCCCTCCCCACCAAGAAAACAAAACACAGGAAAGATACATAGCTGCAGAATGGGTAATTTTTAAAATACATACCTGATGAGCTCAGGAGAATGGATAATGGCTTCTACAATATTTTCTCGAATACAGTGGCGATCTTCTTCTGGAATAGTATAAGGGGATATTTCCCCTGGTGCTGTTTCTCGATCAGGCCAATACTGTGTTATCATATTTTTCAAATAGATAACACCTAAAATACAGATCAGTTTGACAAAAGAATGTTTACTGTGAAAGTACTATGAAAATCCCATAAGTGTCCATACCCCAAGCACTTCTTTCAGACCACTTTGTAATGCTATGCTTTTATAAACAAAATGTTACATTTAATTATTTTTAAAGTTGATAACACACAGATTGAACACTCAGTTACAGTACGACACACAAAGTTATTACTAATCACATATCCTGAGAAAACTCTGCAAATGACCCCAGAGAAAACTGTTTCTTTTTTTTAACTGTTTATTCACAATACTTTTTACTCTGTTTTCTCCATAGGAGAGTTAAATCAAATCAGTTTTCTAAATGAAGCCTCTAAAGACAAAACCACCATAAAGATCCCAACATAGCTTCTACAACTAATCACACCGAAGTCATAAAAAAAAAATTCTTATCACAGGAAAATCATAGCATATAAAGGTTCTTAAATCTATAAATTTAAGTATTTCAATACCATATCACTTCAAATTCAAATTATGTTATGGAAGAATTTACTATGTTCACAAATTACAGATTACTATTTTTCTGTCCGTTATCATACTGCTACCTTTGCACATTGCTATTTGACAAAAGTTAACAAACTGATGAAGCGGCAAAATCTAGGCTGCTAGCAATGCTTTTTAGGCAGCATTTTCAGAGAGGGAGAGAAGAGAATCACAAATATGTAAGATGTACTGTAAAGGGAAACTGTCCAAAATTAATTCCTAAATTCTGCAAAACATTGGATCTTCTCTAATTAGCAATTCTTATCTCAAGTCCTGTACTTATTTGAAACAAGAATAACTAACTCTAGTTTGCTTTAATTTAGGAATTAAATATTCCACCTTATAGTATTTCAAATGGATTAAGGCTGTATTATGAAAATACCCCTTAACAAGGTTTTAAGACAAACTACACCTACAATAAAGAATGTTGACTCAGCATATAGGACCAACAAAATCCAGGTTAATATTTCTGCAGAATTTTGGTTCTTTATCTCCAAAACAGAGCAGAGACCAATATTAAGACCACATTACAGTCCTAATGTCTCTGGATGCAAGCTCTGAATATTTCCATTCTGAGTAAAGGAATAAGATATATGCTTATGTGATTTGTAATTTTAAACATTTTTTTTGCCCCAACAAAACAGTCCTGGGAACTGCACTGTAAGGATCTCATGATTCAGTCTACTGTAGCCAGAATGCTTGAGCTCTACTACAAAGACAGAATGAACTCATCATTCAAAATCTAGCAGATGAAACCACCATATGCCATGCACTACAGAATCTCATTCAATTATTCCATGGACATAATTTTTCTTTTTCTTTCTTTTTTTTGTTTGGAGACCAAGTCTCACTCTATTGCCCATACTGCAGTGCAATGGCACAATCTTGGCTCACAACAACTTCCACCTCCCAGGCTCAAGGGATTCTCCTGCCTCAACCTCCTGAGTAGCTGGGATTACAAGTGTCTGCCACCACACCCGACTAACTTTTTTGTATTTTAAGTAGAGACAGGGTTTCACCATGTTGGCCAGGCTGGTCTTGAACTCCTGACTTCAAATGATCCACAAGCCTCAGCCTCCCAAAGTGCTGGGATTACAGGTGTGAGTCACCGCGCCCAGCCCCAAGGATATAATTTTCAAATTAATGGTATTTTAAATTTTTTGACCAATTCCATAGTTTAACTGCTTCCAATTCTGTGCATACTAAAACAATTTCCTAATGTAATTAATTTTTCTAATGCACATAACCAAGTCTCTAGAATCTGTTAATATCACTCCTAAATGCCAAACACTTAACTTCTTAGGTAAAAATTTGGATTTAAAGGCTGACTCTTATCTAAAAATGGGAAAATGTAAACTTCACTAGTAAAAGATAACTGAGACTTGAATATATATAAAAAAGAAACAAGACCAGGCACAGTGGCTGATGTCTTTGATCCCTGCACTTTGAGAGGCTGAGGTGAGAGGATCGCTTGAGGCCAGGAATTCAAGACCAGCCTGGAGGCTAGGAGTGGTGGCTAAGCCTGTAATCTCAATACTTTGGAAGCCAAAACCAGCCTGGGCAATACAGTGAGACCCCATCCCTACCAAAAAAAACAGAACAAAACAAAACAAAAAAACCACCAGCCTCAGCAACACAGTGAGACTCTATCTCTACTAAATAAAATAATTAGGTGGGTGTGGTGTGGTGACACATTCCTGTAGCCCCAGATACTTGGGAGGCTAAAGTGGAAAGATTACTTGATCCCACGAGTTAAAGATTCAGTAAGCTATAACTATGTCACTGCACCCCAGCCTGGGCAAGGATCAAGATCCTGTGGAAAAAAAGAAGGGAAGGAAGGAACAGGGGAAGAGAGGGAGGCACAGAGGGAGGGAAGAAAGACAGAAAAGGGAGGGAAGGGAGACAACAAAAATTACGCTTTTCCATTAAATTAGAAATTTTTTCAAAAAGATTTACTGCTGACCAGGGAGTTCAGTCATTTATATAAAATTGTTTGCTTTCAAAAAAATTCATGGCCAGGCATGGTGGCTTACGCCTGTAATCCCAGCACTCTGGAAGGCCCAGGCAGGTAGACTGCTTGAGCTCACAAGTTTGACACCAACCTGGACATAATATGGCAAGACCCCATCTCTACAGAAAATACAGCAATTAGGCTAGACGTGGTAGCTAACTCCTGTAATTCTATCACTTTGGGAGGCAGAGGCGGGTGGGTCACTTGAGGTCAGGAGTTCAAAACCAGTCTGACCAACATGGTGAAACCTCAGCTCTACTAAAAATATAAAAAATTAGCTGGGCATGGTGGTGGACGCCTGTAATCCCAGCTACTTGGGAGGCTGGGACAGGAGAATTGCTTGAACCCAGGAGGTGGAAGTTGCAGTGAGCCGAGATCGCACCATTGCACTCCAGCCTGGGAAATGGAGCGAGACTCCATCTGAAAAAAACAAAAAACAAAAAATACAATCATTAGTGGGGCATGGTGGTGTGTGCCATAGTACCAGCTACACAGCAGGCTGAAGTGGGAGAATGGCTTGAGCCAGGGAGGCAGAGGTTGCAGTGAGTCGAGAAGGTGCTACTGCATTATCGCCTGGGCAATAGAGCCAGTTTGTCTCAAAAACAAAACAAAACAAAACAACACAACAACAAAAAAAACCCTATCTGCTTAGTAGAGTCCAGTTTATTTAATTAATTTAAAGTGATAAACAATTTAAATTCATTTATTCCTGAGTACCTACAGTGTACTAGGCAACATTTTAGGCACTGAAAATAAATACACTGTTAACTAAACAGACCTGAAACTAAATTCTGTTTCTAAAAATTGAAACAGTTTACTGCATATGGCATATTATGACAAATTATTTAGCCATTAAAATATGAATCTGAAGACCAAAACTATGTAAAGAAAAGGGAAATGCTTACTATATAACATTAAGTGAAGTGAGGAAAACAAAATTTTTAACAAAATAGGTACAGGGGAAAAGAAAAGCAAGAAATAACACAAAAATGTAATCTGCAATTCTAGAATGATGAAATTACTGGTACTTTATATTTCCCGTAACAAAATTATTACATCTGCAAATAAATTAAGAAGAAATTAAGAGGCTGGGTACGGTGGCTCACACCTGTAATCCCAGCTACTTGGGAGGCAACAGCAGAAGAATCGCTTGAATCCGGGAGGCAGAGGTTGCAGTGAGCTGAGATCACACCACTGCACTCCAGCCTGGACAACAAAGCGAGACTCTGTCTCAGANAAAAAAAAAAAAAAAAAAAAAAAAAAAAATGTAAAAAAGAAATTTTAAAATGTAAATGCCATTATTTTTTGCAGATGAACATAATATTCAGAAAAGTAGCATGCCACATTTTCAGACTATTTGATACTGAGGGAAGTGGCTCAATATGCTGAACAGGAACTAAAAACAGTATAATACTTTTTAAACTGTTAAAAAACAATGACAAAAGCAAAAAGGTGTAAGAGATGACTATATAAACAAACATGTTTGAGTCTTGGAATCACCCATCAGGGAAGGACTCTAAATTAAATACATAGAACAAGCTTCTCTTTTAATTCAACTAAATAACAAATTATTATTTTAAATTCTGCCACCAGTTATCAAGGCACCTGATGTAAGCTATAAACACTGAAGGTAAACAAATTACCTGGGTTGGGGGGGGGATCGCCAAAGGGCCATCCTAAGACAATTATGCTATTGATCATGAACCTTTTAAACAATAGATTACATACACTCAAAATAATTTAGGAAACTTGCCTGCCTGTCTCACAGGTAAATCCAGCTGTTCTGACATAGTAATCTGGAGCAGTGTTGAGACAAAATTCAGAGACTTGTGTGCCTACAAACAAAAAAATTATATTTTAAATTTCTGCAAATAAATATAATTTAAGATAACAGATCAAAGGGGCTTCAATACATTTCCACTGCTTGGCTCACACAAAAGGCTCTTCATAACTGGTTCCAGCCGTTTTTCTCACTGCTCCCTTATGCTGAAGTTTAAGGAATATGATGACTTAAATTCTAAAACTTTTGGATGTTTGCATTTGCCTGTATACCACTGCACTACCCATTTATCCCAACTAGCATTTTTTCTTCTGTTTTGAGATGGAGTCTAGCTCTGTCGCCCAGACTGAAGTATAGTGGTGCAGCTCAGCAACCTTCACCTCCAGGGTTTAGGCGACTCTCCTGCCTCAGACTCCCGAGTAGCTGGGATCACAGGCGCACACCACCACTCCCAGCTAATTTTTGTAAGCCACCTGCCTGGCTATTTTAGTATCTTCTTACAGACTTTTCCCCAATCTGCAAACACATTCTCATAGAGAATTTTCCGGCTAGGTGCAGTGGCTCACCCCCTGTTAATTCCAGCACTTTGGGAGCCTGAGGCAGGCAGATCACTTGAGTCTAGAAGTTTGAGACCAGCCTGACCAACGTGGTAAAACCCCATCTCTACTAAAAATACAAAAATTAGCCAGGTGTGGCAGCACATGCCTGTAATCCCAACTACACGGGAGGCTGAGGTATGAGAATGGCTTGAACCCTGGAGCCAGAGGTTGCATTGAGCCGAGACCAGACCACTGTACTCCATCTAGCCTGTGTGCTACAGTAAGACTATGTTTTAAGAGAAAAAAAAAAAAAAGAAAACACAAAGGCTGAGTGCAGTGGCTCATGTCTGAAATTACAGCACTTTGAGAGGCTGAGGTGGCTGGATCACTTGAGGTCAGGAGTTCGAGACCAGCCTGGTCAACATGGTGAAACCTCATCTTTACTAAAAATACAAAAATTAGTCTGGGCGCAGAGGCTTGCACCTGTAATCCCAGCACTTTGGGAGGCTGAGGCGAGTGGATCACGAGATCAAGAAATCAAGACCATCCTGCCCAACATCGTGAAACTCCATCTACTAAAAATATAAAAATTAGCTGGGCGTGGTGGTGCGTGCCTGTAGTCCCAGCTACTTGGGAGGCTGAGGCAGGATCACTTGAACCCAGGAGGTGGAGGTTGCAGTGAGCCGAGATCCCACCACTGCACTGCAGACTGGCAACAGAGCAAGACTCTTGTCTCAAAAAAAAAAGAAAGAAAGAAAAAGAAAATTCACATTAGAATCTAGAGTGAAACTTTATTCTTTCAATCACTCAAAAAATTACTTATTTAGGTGTTTGTGGTACAAGACAGCATGGCAGGAGCTGAGACTACACGGCTGAATATGACAACCAGGCTCTATGACCTCATGGCAACTTATAGTGTTGTCAAGAAATACAAGATAAATACTTAAACAATACAAGTACAACAACTATTTACACAGCATTTACACTGTACTGAGTATTAAAAATCTAGAAATGATTTAAAGTGTTCAGGAGGACGTGCACAGGTTATAAGCAAATACTACACCATATTATACAAGGAACTTCAGCATCCATGAATTTTGCTATCCGTGGGGGTCCTGGAACCAACAACCCCTCATAGATTCCAAGGGACAACTGTGTAATGGAAGAAGTAGAGAGCAGTATGGAAGAATCAAAAGGAGGATCTCCTGACACAGAAGACCTGATCAAAGGATTTAGGTGGATGAAAGGGAGGTATAGACCCTTTCCACAACTCTAGATGTAAACACTGCAAACCACTATCACTTTATTTAAAAACCCTTCCACCTATGCCATTCTGCATACCATTTCTTTCTAGTCTGTCTCCTCAGGCTCCATTACTGATTTTTCATCCTGTTTAATCTATAAATGCTAGAATTCACCAGGACTTGGTCATAGGCCATCTTTTTTCTCCCCAGCTGATCTCATCCAATCATTATCTTTACAAAGCATCATTTTCCCCTCAAAGTTATTACTATTTCCCTATACACTTCTCCCAACCTCTCATCACTATCTTCACAGTAATTCTCACCACTTTCTTCTTTATCAACCCAGTTTTATATATCAAGTCCTGTCAATTCTAAATCCAGAATCCTTTTTAAAAATGCATCTACTGGCCAGGCGCGGTGGCTCAAGCCTGTAATCCCAGCACTTTGGGAAGCCGAGGCGGGTGGATCACGAGGTCAAGAGATCGAGACCATCCTGGTCAACATGGTGAAACCCCGTCTCTACTAAAAATACAAAAAATCAGCTGGGCATGGTGGCACGTG